AGCTAAAGGTGTAGGGAAGGTGTGATACGTAGGGGAAGAACAAAAAGGGAAAAGAAAAAAATGTGAGAGAATGAAAAGATGAAAATAAAGTGTTTGTAGATGGGGAGGGGAGGAGGGGGTGAAGGGAGGGCAGAGGTAAGGGGAAAAAAATGAGAATCAAGACTTGCCATGTAAAGGTACATGATCCCAACAATGAATGTAACTGTACTGTATCCCTAAATGTACCAATAAACTCAATAAAAAAAAAAATTAAAAAAAAAAATCGTGCCATTACCAACCACAGCCAGACCCACAAAATGAAAAATTATATGGTGCTCTCCCCGCTCCCACCATTAGTCCCTGCCCTAGTGAGTGTACATAACAATGCATGTGCATTGTAACCATTGCTACTCTATGTTTCTGGAGTAGCCCTGCAGACATCTTCCCAATAAAGCTTTCTACTGGTCACCCGAATTTTGCCCCATTTGTCTATCACATGGAAAATATGAAATATGAAATATTATATCTTCCAACCTATTAACTATATGATACACTGAGTTATTGTTCTCTAGAAATTGTATGAGTCCTAGGAATGATGGAGGTTAAAAGTAGGAAGATATTTTTTGATACAAAACCTCCTGAGGGGCAGGAGGGGTCCCAAGTCTCTAGCCAAGGACCCCACTTTACAGAGAGGTGCTATAGGGTGAAACCCACATGGGTACAACATGGGCCACAGCCATGAATATCCAATAAGGTTACAAATGTAGCTGTGGAAGGAATTGGCCAGTGATATGTACATAGAGATGAGCTGAATGGAAGTAAAATAATAAAAAGTTTATTTTGCCAGCAAAGGTTGATCACACTCAAAAAGGCAATGCCAATCATTGACCATCTATTGGGTTGTAGCTCCTTCTTTTATAGGTTTTACAGCTATGATCTCATTTAGGTGATTACATTTCATTTACTAAGTTCTCATTACCCATGTAGACATAAAGTAACCAGAAAGTTAATTTTAACCCAGACATAACAATTCCTTGTAGTTGGGGAGTTTACCTTAAGATGCATCTAGTTATCTATTCTAGTGCATAGGAAGGCAGTGTTCAAGGTTAGGGATAAGGCCAGATGACCTATTTCATGGTCAATGTCTCCACTGTCTGTTAATTTTGAATTCAACAAAGCAGATTGCTGTTACAAAAGACAGCAGAAGTCACTTTACATTTTCCTAACCTTTTGTAGGTTTTTAGAATATTTACAAAAGTTCTCTCAATTCCTCCCTTTGTTTGGGGGTTAACTCCTTACCCCTCATTAAGTTTATACCAATTACATCTAATGGGTACTTGAGTAAAGGGTACATAATAAGCTTTATTTGATCTAAGGGCAGGTCACTCATGATGCCAATTGCCTGATAAGTCATCATGGGGAGTGCTGCACAAATCTAGCAATCAGAGGCTAATTCATGGGCTGCCTGTAACAGCAGTAAATTAGTTCCATCAATTAAATCCATCGTAACTAATTCTGCATAATTCTTTGGATGTCCTTTTAAGATATTTTGTATTTCCTGCAGCACAGGAGTTTTTTTCTATTTCTGGAGGGGGTGTTTTCTAGATGTTTCTAAACTGTAAAATCTATCTTTTTGACCTCTGAGGCCCATGCCTAGCAGTTGACTGATATCCAATGTAAACATGAAAAATTATTCCCTGTAGGCAGCTTGTTTTCCAAAGATAAGCTATATACAATTTTAAAGGTTACATTGTCCCTGTTATAGTTATCACAATTGCAAGTAGTTGTGGTCACAGTACAACTGTTTAACCATATTCGAGTTTTATCTGAGCAATATATCTTTTATTTTTGTATATATACACTACAATCAATTATGGTACCAGGGTTTCCATAATGTTCTTTTTGACAGGCATGAAAAAGAAGCATGAGGGGATGGCCTTCCAGTTCCTATTTTATAGTGTCAAAGGTCATATATTTTTATCAAACTTATCATCTTTGTGCTTAAAACTCTATATCAAATAGCTCATAACCATTTCACACAATAAAAGAGTCCATAACATGTTGATTGCAGTCCTTATTCTTCGGCTGTGTGGACTCACTTGCTTCTGGTGTGGTGAAAGTAGAGCCTTGTGTGTGCTGTCCCCTGCGGTGCAGTCCATGGAGTTCTCTGGATAAGCACTCTTCAATCTAGAGTGGTGAATCCATGGCTGGATCTCAGCCACCTTGACAGCTGTGGGAGTAACCATAAGTGCCTCATATGGCCCTTCCCATCTAGGTTGCAAAGGGGCCTTTTTCCACTTTTAAACATAAATGTGGTCTCCAGGCTTTATCCAATGGGTAGGGGTTAACACAGGGAGATTCTCTTTATTTCTAATATGTCCCTGGATATTTTGGAAAATCTTTTTCAATTCTAACAGTTTGTAATTCCATACTGCATGAACCTAAGTGAAATAAATTTCCTGTAAAGTCTATTAAGATAAATGGTGGTCTTTTAAGCAAGCCCTCATATGGGGAGAATCCAATATAACCTGGAATGGTTTTTATTTTAAGGAGGGCCAAAGGGAGCAAATCGACCCATGACCCCAGTATGTCTGACAATATGTAGTTAATACATTCTTTACCAGGTAGAATCCAAACAAGTCCTCGTTTTTCTGCCAACTGTTTCTTAGCCCATTCATTCTCTTTATCTGAGTATTTTACAGCACCTAGGGGCCTTTGTTTCTCCATTTTAGTACAACTGAGCTACATCCCCAGCCCAAGACAATATCTTAAAACATACTTTTTTCAGTATAACATATATTGTTCTCTGTGCACAGTAATTTAAGGTATTTTCCTTAGTTAAAGTTTTTATAGCCAGGGATTTAGCTCAGCAGTTGCGCAGCCTGTCTTGCAAGTGCAAGGACCTGAGTTCAATCCCTGGTACTAAAAAAAAAAAAAATTGAGTTTATAAATCAATACAATTTAGATATATATAGATAGATCTATCTAATCAATAGATATATCAATATAGATAGAGCTATCTAATTAATAGATATATCAATATAGATAGAGCTATCTAATCAATAGATATATCAATATAGATAGAGCTATCTAATCAATAGATATATCAGTATAGATAGATAGATCTATTTCTATCTATATTCTATATAGAGTCATATATATCTATATTCATACATATAATTTATAAGATTATAGATGTTTACTGTGCTCTGCTTTGATTCTCAATTGTTAACTGATTAAGAAATATGTAATGAATCATCTAATGCTTATATACTATTCATAACAACATTGATATAATCAGTTACTAAATATAAATTCAGGTGTTCTTGGTTTCTTAAGGCTTCTAAACATTTAATATATTTGGATTAATAAATAAGTTGTTTTAAATTATTAATATATTTTAAGATTGCTTTCTTAATTGGCTAAGAAATAAATTTCTAAACTTGAATTTTACAT